AAAAAAAAAAAAGTAACTTTCTATTCATGTTTGATCAAGACCAACAATATACAAGAAATAGCCTTAATGAATGAACTGTATATAATGCATATTTGCCTGTTTGTATGTACAGTATGTTTAAACTTTTGTTTCAGCATGTTTTAATCTTTGGGTGGAAGTAGTTTCTGCCAGATGCAACATTATTGGAAACTTGTTGAAGTTTATTTGTATTTTTGTGATTAATTGAACCCGAAAAATGAGAAAAATAAAGCATTCAATGCCAATCAAGCTTTTCTCTGTTGTTGTTCATGTTCAGCACAGCTAAAAACTTTGCAGAACAACCTTTTCAAGTTTACAAGTATTTAATTCCCTTTTTATCTTTAAAAACAACATGTTAAGATAACACAAGAGTCCTGTAGTATGTAGCTTCAAATCACACCAATCATGTGAGGCCTTGGAAGTCCAAACCGTAAATTGTAGCTTGTTTAGGAAATAAATGAAGCATCGCTTTAGTTCATGCAGGACACGGAAGTCATACACCCCCAGCTGTAACCAGCTGACAGCCAGCCGATTGAAGCTTCCAATCGGCCACACACCAATCACAGCCCACTCTCACTTCAAGGAGGTTTATTGAAGTATGACTCCCTCCTCACTGATTCATTCTACATCTACGCTGTTACAGAACACAGTGCTGACAAAGCTTTGCCTCCTCCACCCCAGCCTCCACCCCTTTTCTAGTTCAGAGATCATCTTTCATGGCAAATGGTTGAAATGTATTTTAAAAATGTACTTCTGGCTCATTCCTGTAAACCTTTGGGGGTTGTTGCTTCTTGCTCCGCGTTTTGGATTGGTAGCTGCTGGCTAATCCGGGGAGCATTCAAAGAGCGGAACCATCAGCGCCAAGTTTAACTGTATTTCCATTTGTTGCAATAAATGGTTAAAATCTATGACGAGAGTGTTCCTGACTGAATTACAGTTCTTCTGCATTGAATTCTTACTGTGATGTTGTTACATCACTTAAGGTGTTACAACATCACTTATTAAGGTGTTACAAAAGGTGTTATAACTTAAAGATGTAACACCTTGATAGAGGACTTGACTGCGGCGCCTGGCTGGTATCCTCAATCTCTGATGATAAGTGACTGTAAAACAAACAAAATAAAAAATTTAGAAACACAATGTTCTGAACTTCTGGAAAGTTCTTTGACATCCAGGATAAACACACTTAAAAGAAGCTTTGGGTGTGCAACTGTGGGTTTGCATGTGCATCACATATGTTAACATACCAGTGCAAGTCTTTGTAAAAAGCTAATACAACAATACCACACAGTTTAAATGAACAGACTGATGCAAATTTACTCCGTGTTCAGTTCAGTATAGTCAGTTTGGTTCATCTCTTTAAAAACTGTTTTTGTAGTGCAGCAAAAAATAACACAAAACAATAATAAAATGTAAGGCATCAATGTTACTAAACTATACACTCAGGACAAAATACGGTAAAACAAAACAAAAACAAGAGAGGTGCATAAAAACCGCAATAACTAACAATAAGTGGAAGTTCATGAAGTCCTCTGACTGCACAGAGAGGTTGAACTGGATCTGAGACAGTAGAGCCACACAATAAACACTCAGATAGTTAGTTTATACTTATCCTGTTTGCACTGCAGTCATTTCATAAAGAGGAGGATTTGCTCCCTCATTGTCAATATATTCTTTTTCCATTGTATAGAACTGTGTTGCTGTACTGTGACCGATGTGGAAGAAGGTGCACGAGGGAAGAACAAGAACATGTTGATCTCCATATCTATCTATCTATCTAAATATATATGTGTGTATAAATACTGTATATACATGTGTTTTTTTTGTTGCTGCTGCTTACATTCCTTATGATGCAATTTAAAATAAATAAAAAATATATAATAAGTACGGTAACTTTAGAAAAGTCAAGCTACATATATTGTATCCCCATGTAATAGCTTCTTCTGCTCTTAATTAAATATTCATTGTAAATAGGTAAATAGTAGGTATAAAGATTAATGACTACAAAAAAATGATGACGACACCAGCGATAACCCGGAAGAGAAGCGGCCCACTCGTGACCTCTTAGCTGTGTACGTAACGAGAGGAGAGATGACTGAACAGAGGTGTGATTGTTCCGCTTGGCCCTCGACACCAGCGAGTTAACGAGGAGAATACGGAGCGCAGTCAAGATGTCCCACTAACGGAATGTCGTTACAGACAGAAACGACGCTCGGTTATTCGGGGAATTTCGTCAGACAGACGTCGGACGTTGCTAAACGGGCAGATAGCTAATCTGAATTAGCCCGTGTGTCGGTTCTTTGACAGCTCCAGCTGTTCGCACATGACAGTCGACGTGTTAATCAGGAACGTGAACGCCAGGTGTGAAGCAGCTCGTTAGCTGCATTTGTTGACAGCCACGTCAGCTAACGTTAGCTTAGCGCTATAGCCCTCCGGTCTGTCATTTTGAGAGCACTTCTGTGCTGTTGGTTCGGTGTTGTGAGTCATATTATCTATCAAAAAGCTTCAAAGGACAATGGCTCCGATGGGTATCCGGCTGTCTCCGCTCGGCGTGGCGATGTTCTGCCTCCTCGGAGTCGGCGTCATCTACCACCTGTACGCAGGGGTCATCTCCAACCGCTGGGCTGCTTTCAGGTCAGACTCCTCTCTCTCTCATTTCCTTACACGATGATGATATAACGTTTTCGCTCACTGCAGGTAACGTTAGAAACAGTGTCCAGTCTCTTATATGAGAGCCGTAACTACAGTTCATGTTAATATGTTCATGTAAGCAGCTGCTTCCTGAACCTATATATATTTTTTAAAGTACAGACTTCAATGTGTCTGCATTACCATCATCTGGCTTCCAGTGGTCTGTGGGAAACACGGATTAGTCTCTGCAATTGTCTCATTGTGAAATAGTGAATGAGCACAACATTTCAGCATCATCTAAAAAGGATACCAGGGGGAAATGTTAAAAAAGTTCCTTCTCTCATTTACTTTCCTGGAGCTGATATGGCTGACACAGTTTCATCAGGTAAAAGTTATTAATTCTTCCAGTCATTTCTAACGTTGTTGTGTCTCTGCAGACAGAGGAGCAAAGTGGATCTGAGGGACCTGCTGGCTGTCTCGGTGGAGGCTGCTGTGCTCGGTGGCACAGAGGTAAAAAGACATGTTTAACTACACAGCTCAATGGACAAAGGTTGAGTAGGCTTTTATAGCATATATGTTTAACTAAGATCAATTACACGTAGTTTTTTGTTTTTGTTTGATCAGGCTTTTGAGCTGGAAGTAGGGGTGTAACAATACACGTATTCGTATGGAACCGTTCGGTACGAGGCTCCCGGTTCGGTACGCATTACAAACCGAACAATATGTTTGAACTAGAAAATTTTGACGGAAATTTTGACAACAGTGTGGCTTCTACTGCCCGGAGATGTCGCAATATATATACAGCGGGTAAAATAAGTATTGAACGCGTCACCATTTTTCTCAGTAAATATATTTCTAAAGGTGCTATTGACATGAAATCTTCACCAGATGATGGTAACAACCCAACTAATCCATACATACAAAGAAATCCAAACATATAAGTTCAGAAATTAAGTTATGTGCAACAAAATGGAATGACACAGGGAAAAAGTATTGAACACGCTTACTGAAATTGATTTAATACTTCGTACAGAAGCCTTTGCTGGTAATGCCGGCTTCAAGACGCCTCCTGTATGGAGAAACTAGTCGCATGCATTGCTCAGGTGTGATTTTGACCGTCTTCCACACAAACAGACTTCAAATCTTGAAGATTCCGTGGGCCTCTTCTATAAACTCTGATCTTTAGTTCTTTCCATAGGTTTTCTATTGGATTCAAGTCAGGTGATTGTCTGGGCCATTCTAGCAGTTTTATTTTGTTTCTCTGAAACTAATTGAGCACTGTTGGGGCCATAATCCTGAAGTGGAAAGAACATAATTTCATCATGAACCGGCCATGGCCAGGTTCTCCTCGCAAGATTTCTGACAGGAGTGAAAAGAATTATCAGAAGAGTTGTCCAAGAACCAAGGACCACTTGTGGAGAGCTTCAGAAAGACCTGGAATGAGCAGGTACAATAGTTTCAAAGAAAACAATAAATAATGCACTCAACCGCTGTGGTCTGTACGCACGGTCACCACGCAAGACTCCACTGCTGAAGAAAAAGCATGTTGAAGCTCGTTTAAAGTTTGCTGCACATTTAGACAAGCCTGTGAAATACTGGGGAATATAGTCTGGTCAGATGAGACCAATATTGAACTCTTTGGATGCCGTAATACATACCATGTTTGGAGGTCAAATGGCACTGCACATCACCCCAAAAACACCAAACCAACAGTGAAGTTTGGAGGTGGGAACATCATGGTGTGGGGCTGTTTCTCAGCATACAGCACTGGCAAACATCACATGATTGAAAGAAGGATGAATGGAAAAATTTACCAAGACATTCCTGATAAAAATTTGCTCCCATTTACCAGGATGGTGAAGATGAAACGAGGGTGGAAATTTCACACAGCCAAGGAAACTCTCAACTGGTTTCAGAGAAATAAAATAAAGCTGCTAGAATGTCCCAGACGATCAGCTGACTTGAATCCAATAGAAAATCTATAGAAAGAACTAAAGATCAGAGTTCATAGAAGAGGCCCACGGAACCTTCAAGATTTGAAGTCTGTTTGTTTGGAAGAATGGGCCAAAATCACACCTGAGCAATGCATGCGACTAGTTTTTCCATGCAGGAGGCGTCTTGAAGCCGTCATTACCAGCAAAGGCTTCTGTACGAAGTATTAAATCAATTTCAGTAAGCGTGTTCAATACTTTTTCCCTGTGGCATTCCATTTTATTACACATTACTTAATTTCTGAACTAATTTGTTTGGATTTCTTTTGATGTATGGATTACTTGGGTTGTTACCAACATCTGGTGAAAAGTTCATGTCGACATCACCTTTAGAAATATATTTAAAGAGAAAAATGGTGACGCGTTCAATACTTATTTTACCCGCTGTATATACACGTCAATGTTACCGGTAGTATCATTGAGGTTCAATTGAGATGTCGCTTCTCTTTTCTGCATCTTAGATTCATACTCTTGGATTGAATATTGTATTCATGATGGATAGTCCACAAATCGCTCCCGGCATTTCTGTATTTGAGATATATACCTTTGTTTGAGAAGCCTTTGGAAATGATGGGAGCTAACACCCCCATCATTTCTATATCTATAGATAGATAGATAGATATCTCTTGTATACAGAAATCCAAAAGGTATATATATCTCATATACTGTATATACAGTGGGTACGGAAAGTATTCAGACCCCTTTAAATTTTTCACTTTGTTTCATTGCAGCCATTTGCTAAAATCAAAAAGTTCATTTTATTTCTCATTAATGTACACTCAGCACCCCATTTTGACAGAAAAAAACAAATGTAGAAGTTTTTGCAAATTTATTAAAAAAGAAACTGAAATATCACATGGTCATAAGTATTCAGACCCTTTGCTGTGACACTCATATTTAACTCGCATGCTGTCCATTTCTTCTGATCCTCCTTGAGATGGTTCTACTCCTTCATTGGAGTCCAGCTGTGTTTAATTAAACTGATTGGACTTGATTAGGAAAGGCACACACCTGTCTATATAAGACCTTACAGCTCACAGTGCATGTCAGAGCAAATGAGAATCATGAGGTCGAAGGAACTGCCCAAGGAGCTCAGAGACAGAATTGTGGCAAGGCACAGATCTGGCCAAGGTTACAAAAGAATTTCTGCAGCACTCAAGGTTCCTAAGAGCACAGTGGCCTCCATAATCCTTAAATGGAAGAAGTTTGGGACGACCAGAACTCTTCCTAGACCTGGCCGTCCAGCCAAACTGAGCAATCGTGGAAGAAGAGCCTTGGTGAGAGAGGTAAAGAAGAACCCAAAGATCACTGTGGCTGAGCTCCAGAGATGCAGTAGGGAGATGGGAGAAAGTTCCACAAAGTCAACTATCACTGCAGCCCTCCACCAGTCGGGGCTTTATGGCAGAGTGGCCCGACGGAAGCCTCTCCTCAGTGCAAGACATATGAAAGCCCGCATAGAGTTTGCCAAAAAACACATGAAGGACTCCCAGACTATGAGAAATAAGATTCTCTGGTCTGATGAGACCAAGATTGAACTTTTTGGCGTTAATTCTAAGCGGTATGTGTGGAGAAAACCAGGCACTGCTCATCACCTGCCCAATACAATCCCAACAGTGAAACATGGTGGTGGCAGCATCATGCTATGGGGGTGTTTTTCAGCTGCAGGGACAGGACGACTGGTTGCAATTGAAGGAAAGATGAATGCGGCCAAGTACAGAGATATCCTGGAAGAAAACCTCTTCCAGAGTGCTCTGGACCTCGGACTGGGCCGAAGGTTCACCTTCCAACAAGACAATGACCCTAAGCACACAGCTAAAATAACAAAGGAGTGGCTTCGGAACAACTCTGTGACCATTCTTGACTGGCCCAGCCAGAGCCCTGACCTAAACCCAATTGAGCATCTCTGGAGAGACCTGAAAATGGCTGTCAACCAACGTTCACCATCCAACCTGACGGAACTGGAGAGGATCTGCAAGGAAGAATGGCAGAGGATCCCCAAATCCAGGTGTGAAAAACTTGTTGCATCATTCCCAAGAAGACTCATGGCTGTACTAGCTCAAAAGGGTGCTTCTACTCAATACTGAGCAAAGGGTCTGAATACTTATGGCCATGTGATATTTCAGTTTTTCTTTTTTAATAAATTTGCAAAAATTTCTACATTTCTGTTTTTTTCTGTCAAGATGGGGTGCTGAGTGTACATTAATGAGAAATAAAATGAACTTTTTTGATTTTAGCAAATGGCTGCAATGAAACAAAGAGTGAAAAATTTAAAGGGGTCTGAATACTTTCCGTACCCACTGTATACATTGTATATGAGATTTATACCTTTTGGAAATTACATTTCTGTATTTGTGATAGAAAGACTTGAACTTAGCATTTCTTACCATGAACCTCATTCTGAGCTTCATGTTAAGATACAGTTATGACATGGGGCTTTTATTTTGAAAGGGTGGGACTAGGTGGGTGAGAGAGGAGACAGAATCATAATGTGACTGAATATCTCCAAGTCGTGTGTGGCAGTGTCTCTGACAACCGCCACGGCGATTGTTCAATTTATAGCTGCGGATATGAGACCCTACTCTGGAGTGGAAAACCAGGCTGTACTAACATGCTTAATGCTATTGAGCCCTGTGACACTACTCCTTCGCCAGACCACAATTCCTGCTCAGTAAAAGAAAAGAAAAGCTCAAACAGAGAATCAAATGTCCGAGCACTCGCTGTTTCTCGGACAACAGACGGCCGGACGTCACGGACTACACAAAGCTACCTGACTGTAATGACGCATTACCTCACTACTGAATGGAGATGAAGAGCCATGTTCTTCAGACACAAAGCTACCTGACTGTACGACACATTACCTCACTACTGAATGGATACTTAGCAAGTTAGTTACTTTTGAAATCTGTATTTGTCAAAACATTTAAAAACTTTTATTTATTTTTTTTTACCTAATGTCATAAGAGTACCAAGGACGTGACCTCTTTAGCTCCACACCTTACGGAGTAGTATTCTGTATATTTTCAGGGTGTCCCTTATCACCCGTAGGACCAGTCTCATTCATGCTTAGTATACTTTATAATATTTAGGATTTTCCAGTGCAGATTTAGGATGAGTGTGCTGTCCCCCACATGTTTGACCGGCTCGTTGTTGGATGACTATTGGTGACGTTCAAAAACACAATTTCTCACTTCTTTGACCCTGCCGTCTACATAAGGAATAGGTGCCTTACTCAAACTAAAATGTGTCTTCCCCCCCCAGGTGAAGAAGGTGCGCCATGAAAATGCCCTGCAGGAGAAGTCAAAGGGCAAGACGCAGGAGGGAGCCACTGAGCTTCTGACCATGGGAGACCTGCAGTCTCATAGAAAGATGTTTAACCTCATAAGCAACACCTTCCCTGATGTCACGGTGAGCGCAAATCGCTGTAGCTGTCATCTATCTACCGTGGTAAAGAATACCTGTACTTGTTTGGCAGATCTCAAAACATAACCAGTTCCACTTGTCTAGACGGTTAATATCACAGACTGGAGAATATTATGAACCAGCAACCAGGCTGTAATCACAGAACCGAGGCTTTGATGTGATGTTGGCGGAGGACCTTTAGGGAAACTTCATTTAAACATAAGCCAAAGGCACATGACTCATACTTGTGCCTGCATGTGTTCAGGTGAACAGCGAGGAGCATGACAATATGGTGGACAAGGCTGCATCCTGGAACCGGAACATTCCTGCCGACATACTAGACAAGATAGAGGGGGGCAAGGACGTCCCCCCTGAGAGCGTCACAGTGTGGATCGACCCTCTGGATGCTACTCAGGAATACACAGGTGGGCAGTGTTTGTCTTTGCAGAACAAGCTCATGGGATTCACAGTGAAGGGTACATTGCAAAATATTGAGTTTCAAAAACATCATAAATGATTATATAAGGTTTGGTGGGCACACTTGTTTGTCTTGGGTATGTGTTGACCTAACATTCATGGCCCTTTTGTAGCAGAGTCCTCTTTAAAGGGACAGTTCACCCCAACATATAAAAGAACACATTTCTCCTCTTCCCTGTAGTTCTATTTATCAATCTAGATAGATTCGGTGTGAGTTGTTGAGTGTTGGAGATATCGGCGGTAGAGATGTCTTTCTTCTCTCGGCTTGTGGTGCTCAAAGTGCCATAAAAATACATTTGAAAATCTCAACGGCAACGTTTCTGCCTATAAATCATGACCCCGGTCACTCAGGATACATCCGCAGACCTCGTTGTGAGCAGTTTCATGTGGGAACTATTTTCTTTGTGCCGAGATACACCCGCTTACCGTATCACCGCGCAGAAGGAAGCGGGCATCTGCTCATGGACGAGAGGCTCAGGCTTTTGACAGTGAAATCATTAATGGCGTCTCTCCTCGGGCTGAGCTGTAATGTTAGCTAGCTCGGTGGTGCTAGGTGGGCTAGCGGTATCGAGTATCGATGAGTACATTGACACAGTTGGCGGGTGTAGTTCGGTAGAAAGAAAACGGTTCGGTGCCTGTGTGACCCACTAGGGCTGGGCGGTATGACCAAAAATGCATATCACGGTATTTTGTAAGATTCTGGCGGTTTCACGGTATATCACGGTATTTTTTTTTTCGAGTTAAAGCATTAATTAATTAACGCCGAAAAGAACCGTCCGGTCAACCGGCCAGCGAGCGGTGAACAGCTGTTTGTGTGGCGTGTCTTCTGTTCCGTCACTTCCTGTTTCCTTCACCTACATTCCCCTGGGTCCTAAGCCCCTCCAAGTACAGCTTCTTATCACCCTCTATGTACCAACGTACATTTATAACAAATACCACACATATTACACGGTAATCAGCGTTGCATAGGTGTCTGACCAAAATACCTTTTGTTGTTCAGTCTTTGTTCATCCTGCATCGCTGTTTTCTCTTCTTTAATAACGTTACTGGAGTGACGGAGCCTCTCCCAGCTGTTAGCAGACTGTTAGCGAGCTGTACCCAGCATGCAGTTCAGTGGTGAAATTTTAGAAATGTACAATTATTAGTGTTACAAATTGTTTGTGTCACAAACTGTGTTGTGGTGTTTTGCCCTGTTAAAGAGCGTTAGTTGTGGGTTGTTAATTGTTATAAGGTTATAACCATGACTAGGGTTCCCTCTCAATACAGCTAAGACAACTAGCTCCGACCGTAGCGCTCCCAGCGGCGAACAATACATTTTGCTGCCTGTTGAAGAGCGACAGAAGTTGTTTTGGCTATATGACGGTATATGAAAAATTCATATCATACGGGAAATTAAAACGGGTATACCGGTTGAACCGCCCTATGACCCAGTAGAAAATGTTCAGTGGCCTTTGGTGCTCAGGGTTAGGAACCACTATCTCAGGGTCCTTTCCCACCTACTTTGTTAGTCCGGACTTTTGGACTTTTCTGCTTGATCTGAACAAAAATCACACGTGTGAAACCAAACAGCCGAACCTTGGTCTGATGAAAAGAGGCGGTCTCTGTCGGGTTTGCTTTGTTTCTAGTGTGAACTCCTTTTTGTGGATGGTTCGGACTTTCTGACCAATCACAGGAAGTTCTGGCAGGCCAGCGTTATGTTATAAGAGTAGCGTAGCTCCTTTTGTGAGGAGTGCACTGAGAGAGAACAGTGGTCTGTGTTTCTGTTATCACACGTGAGGTTTCCCTAGCATCGGGTCCAGCTGGACATCCTGGATCTACATCATGTTAATGGCATGTGCATAATTACAATGAAGAGGGGCAGTGTGCACTGTCGGCCTCGTTAACGTGTACCTGAAACATGAATTGAATGTGTTCTTTCAAACACCACTGCAGTCTTCTTTTTGTTATTAATAAAACAAAAAGGTTTACAAGACACACATCTGCACAAATATGGATTTTTGAGAGACACGCTGACACTTACCTCTGTATCTGGTCTCCTCTATTCATCCGTCTTTGTCCTTGTTCACTCCATGATCCTGTTACCTCTTTTCACCTCTCTTCTCTCCTGTGTCCTCCGGCTGTCTCTACTATCTATCTCTCCATCTTTCCTCTCAACTCCCACTCTCTTTATATGCTCATCTCTCTCCCCATAGAGAATCTGGTGAAGTATGTGACCACAATGGTGTGCGTGGCTGTAGATGGTAAACCAGTCATCGGGGTCATACACCAGCCGTTCACTGATTTCACTGGTAAGTTTGTGTGTGCGCCTCCACAAGTTTAATCGTGTGTGTATTATGCATGCTGCCTCCATGCCATTTAGGGGAAGAACCTGTCAAATTTGCTTTCTAGATCTGTAATAGTTAAGACAATGGTCGATAAAATAACATGTATTGAACTTCTTCCCCCTCTCCAACCCCCCTCAGCCTGGGCGTTTGTAGGTCAGGGGTCAAATATGAGACCCCGTCCGTCCTACAGTGTCAGCCCTCCGAAGGCGATCGTATCACGTTCCCACTCCGGAAAAGTAAAAAGCTTTGTTCAGGATGCTTTTGGAAACGGCACAACGATCATAGGAGCAGGTGGAGCAGGTGAGAACAGAATTATTTATTTTTTTAAAGTACTGCATGTGCAGACGAAGCTCAAAGGAGATATTTATGATTTCAAGTAGAAACGACCCACAGGGAGATGTGCAAATTAACGCTTAGATTGCTTCTTTTTCTTAACTGTTAAAAACGATACTGTCAATTTGATTATTATTATTTTTATTTGTTGCAACTCACATGTAGCTATGGGCTTCTACAGGCTGTATAAGAGAAATTTGGCTGGTCCACAGTATCGCAGTGCTTTTCTTACAGTGGATATTTTTTTCTACAATACCTTTTTGTCAAACACTGGTTTTATTAATAACTGTCGGAAAGTCTGCAATCCACTCAGATGCACTAGTATTATGCCTTATGGCTCACTGGGACTCCTAGATGGAACACGTGTCTCTCTCGCTCTCACTCTGTCTCGCTCACTCTGTCTCTCTCTCTTTGTCTCTCTGTCTAGGATATAAGGTCCTGTCACTTCTGGCGATGCCTTCCAGTGAAACAGGTTCTATGGACCAGGCAGACGTTTACATCCACGTCACCTTTATTAAGAAATGGGACATCTGCGCTGGTGCAGCACTACTCAATGCGCTGGGTAATTCATTTTTTTTAAAATACATTTTATACAAATATTACTAGAACCCTTTTTGGTTTGCACCTATTGTTTAGTGGACTACGTTTCAGCACATTCTGATCCGAATGTTGGTAAATCCAGATTGGCGCATGAAAGTATGTGATGATTTTCCATCTGAGCCTCACCGACTTCACTCTGCTAAATGCTTGTGCAGCATTTACGTTACCTATGAAAATAAGATATCTTGCACCAGACATAAAGAGCAGGATATCACTTCATCTGCAAAGGAGATCACATACTAAAAGGCCTGTCTTGCGCTAGGGACTTATTGTACCATATTTGGACATGACCTCGATCATTTTTACGTTATCGATTATCGTTATATTATTATATCAGTGGCATAAAAATTGTCTTAAAAATGACAATAATATATTTTATTTCTGTGAGTGTGTATATATTGTCCAACAAAAGTAATTACGGTTACAGACCTACAAACTAAGCCCAATTGTATTTTTATCTTTTTAACGAATGTGTCGTTTTCATCTCTTAAATGGATTTTAATGGCGGAAGTGCACTGAACCAATGACATGTAAACTCCATGATTGTAGGTGGCCACATGACGACGCTAAAGGGAGAGGATATCGACTACAGTGGAACGCCGCTCAACAAAGGAGGACTGGTGGCCAGTGTTGGTGTGGACCATAAGGCCTTACTGGAGAGACTACCAAACTGGGAACCTGAAAAGCACTGAGACGCGCACAAAGACAGAGCCATTGGTAGTTCGGTCATGTTGTGGAGAGGGCAACATGTGGCAGCGATTGTCTATAAGAGCGGCCTGTAACCAGGCCCGTGCCATTTCATCGCCGTGTGACCCCAAACATCCGCCGATCGGATGGCTGGGAGTCACCGTCACGGGCCACCGAGCAGGACTGTGCAGGAACCAACATGGCTGCCGCTGGATACTGCAATGGCTGACAAAATGGCTCTAAACTCACACTCCTGGACATGCACACATACTTGCAGCTAGGAGAAACGGTACACACAAACACATGCTCACAGCGAGCACCTTCATTTTCAGAGGACAACATGATCACGACTCACGACAAACTGAGGAGCACAACGCGGAACCTAAGGAGGGACTGATATGATATTAAGACCCATCTACATCACATGAGACTCCAATGAAAACACACGATTAAGGAACACCTTGTATTTCAGATGGGCACGGTAGCATTTATGTCAGCATCAGCTTCGTTCAGTTAGTGAACCGACAAGCTATCATGTTTTGAGACTGGATAGAAATATGGAATACGATCAACAAACCCTCTGTTCACCAGCATACTACAACAGTTCACCACAACACCATCTTAAAGTGGTCCGCTGCTTCAAAGTTGTCATCTGAAACAGAGCACTTCAGCCTTGGATCGACGGTGAATGCTGTTTTTCATTTATCAAGTCGCGATCATTTGTGTTTATTGGCCTTGTCCACACTGTAGACACAGGTCTCTCAAACTTTGGGTCAAGAGGACCCAGGTAGTATATTTTCAAAAGACTTAGTGCAACATTGGGTTAACCTTCACTTCAAGAAAATCAATTTAATGAGAACTCATTTAGGGCTGGGCACTATGGAGGAAATCAAATATCACTATTTTTGACCAAATACTTATATTGGAAAAATAATCTTTAGTAACCACCAAAAGTTTGGATGTCAGTAAGTTGACATACGAGCCTGGGAGTGTTTACAAAAAGGTCAACTACTAAAGTTGTCTGAATTAGGCCAACTCAAAACAATAGCAAATTAATTAGATTTACTAAGTTACCATTGAAAAGGGGGGGAAATGTAAAAGAAATTGTCTATTATCTTATCGTGTGTCTGAGTAAACCTATTCTCAGGTATGTTGTGATTTTTGTTTGCATATATAACAAGAGAGTAAGGACATTTTTCTCACAAACCATTCAGAGCAGACTGGGCTTCTTCAGCAGGGGGTCTTAAAGAGACAGGTGCTAAAACGGTGTGTTTCAGACAGAGTGAATACATGTATATTAAGAGTGGCGGCATGAGAAAAATGTGTTTTTTGGACATTAACGCATGTAAACATATTCTAGTAGAAACCCGAAATAAAAGTATGAACCTGAAAATGAGCATGATATGTCCCCTTTAATGAACCGTAACCCTGAGTGAGAATAACGTGGACCTTTATCTTCCACACCCTGTAAATACATGTAATAAGTTGGACTGAACTGAAACCATAAAGCACCATTACTCTCCGTTTCTCCACGCATTATCACCTCTCCGGTACCAACTGTGATGGTCGTTTTTTTTTAATTTAAAGGCAGGATGGCAGCGTTGACTTTTGAGGACAAAATCAAGTTCCGTCCAATATGCACAGTCTCATTCAGGACTGGCAGTCTGCCACATGGGCGGTACTGAAGAAAAGCAGTTGGGTGGTGTTCTTTCACCCAGAACTCATCCTCCAAACCATTTCTGCTATTGAACGATCAGCTGTGCACTCTCCAAACCTGAAAAGTGACACCTCGGTACTACTCTTGACGGAGGACTGTACACTGTGTAAGACCCGTGTACTTGCATGGTTTTGTATTTTGAGTAACTCTTTTAAACCTTACTGAAAATGTCTTTCTGTACCGTCTGCATTGTGTCAACAAACACTGACACGAAGTTGGACTTGAATTTTTGAAGTGAAACGTGAGCTCACATGTATCTTGAGAAAGAAACACTAGTGAGCTGTCTAATGATCTGTTTGTATAATTGATAACCTTTGTATAGACCCAACATGTGGATGGAGGTTACGAGTTAGACGTTCATTCAACTTGTTTGGCTGCAGACTGAAGATAATAGATGATTAGGAGACGCTGTCAGCAGGTTAAAGGCTTCATCCTGATGGTGTGATGCTGACAATAAAAAGGGACAAAGAGACGACAGAAGACAGCCTTCAGTGTGGAACCAGAGCTGTGACACCTACAGGAGGTCGGAGCCTTCATGTGCTAAAATATCAGTTTTATGATCTGAGTGCCTTTGAGCAGCACAAGACAATGTTGTCCTACAAGCCACCCACTCAACATGATTTCTGTGGAATGTTGCTATGGTAACGGTTAATATGCAAGGGTGATGCAGCAATAGCGATTTCAATTGAAATGGCATTACAGTGACATGGGAATCACATGAGGTACTATTATTTAGTTTGGGTGCTCATAGGAGAAAGAAGTAGATAAGCGTGTGAGAGTCAGACGTATTAATTAAAGGAGAAGGGTCTATCTGCACTTTACTACACGACATCCCCCGAGATAACTTCCGGGGTTAACTCATTTCAACCCAAACATGATATTTTCCTAAACCTGACCTAACTGCCACAGTTTTGAGGGGCGTGTCCTGTGGTACAGTGCACCCACAGGTCGGCCTACTTGGATTAAAGGGGAATTCCACAGGTTTGGCATTATATGGAGTCATAGTGCGTTTAAAGGTGTTGTGGAGCACTACTGTATATGTGGGGGAAAGTTCAAGCCTTTTGTGAGCTCCAGAGGGAGCTGCGTGGAATCTGATGAATGGCCTCATGTGATGTCACTTAAGTCAGTCTCAGTTGGGTCTGAAGACTACCAGTTTGAAAATGAGTACTCTTCCTCTGCTGGAGACTACATTAGCCGCTACGAGCACAAAACAACAGTTTGTCCAGTTGCAATGTAGGAAGAAGAGGATTGCGTGGAATAAAAAAATATCTGGTTCTGATCCATCTTAATTGTAAAAGGGGCACCATGTGTTTAACACTACACACCTGAAAGCTATGGTTCAAAAAGTTCAATAATTACAAGTTCATTAAGCATTCATTAACACAGTGGAGCCAACAAAGGAGCTGGGGAGACTCTTGTGTTGACTTTAGATCCAGTCAACAGTAACCACTGACCACAACACCAGAGAGTGAGGATTGTTAGGTGACCTGACAGAGTGTAGCAGCTGCTTTAGGTGCTGGAAATCATGTTGATTCCTCAAGTTCAGATTTGGAAAAACATGTTAATTAATGTCCACAACAATGGCGTGCTGTTGGAATTTGAAATACCTGAGTTTTTATTGTTTTTTTTCTGCATGGGTTACTTGGGACTAAAGAAATGTCTCTTTAGAGACCTCATTACATCCCTGTCCTGAAGAGCGGGCTTAATGTCTTTCAGCCTGTGGATTTCATTTTTATTCAGATATTTCAAAACATTTGGTTTATATAGATAAGAATCAACAAAAGAAAATTAATTGCAGTGTTGTGATTTCAACTGAAGTAGAAGTTCAGAAGTTTAGGATGGGTAATGTTCCCTTCAGGTTTGGAATAGAAGTTGCAGTAAAAACCTAAAACCCTAACTGCTCGTGTTCTTACAGTCCTTCTGGACGCTAGTCCCGCCCTGTAACATGCTGTCCTATGTTCTGTGTGGATTGAGGGTGTGGACTGTCCGTCATCTGAGTGTTGATCTCTGTGAGTCTCCCTCGTCCTGTTTCTGCTGTGTATTTCCAATAATACCTCAGTGTGCATGATGGTGACGTGCCGCGTCTCCTCTGGTCTCATTGCAGCAAACGGGTGTAGTGACTTCACAAGGTCCTGTGGAGCAGGACATTAAAGTAGTGAGTAAGCGTTCATGAAGGCATCAAAGATAAGGTCTGAAAAACAGCGTTACCATACTTTTAAATAGGAATGAATTTCCATTTTTAACTAATTAGACGCAGAAACAACTGCCCATTTTCTCAGACATGTATTAACACTGGCATTGCACAGAACTACTTCTGCTTTAGAACTTTCCTGCTGGTTTGATGGGCACACAGAGATAAGATCATCTGTTAGTAACAAAAAAGAACTAACATGAAAACATGCCATAAAATTTCATAAACCATACTGAGATGGTAAAATCTGAAAGTGTGTCCAAGGATGGAAGCCCTGAGAGGCAAGTGACCAAACACAAACACAAGTCTGAACAAAGAAAACTATAATATTGGACACATACGTAGACGTTAAACACATCATTCAGGCTGAAAGTGACACAGTTTAAAGTGACAAACGCAGGAAGGGCGGCTGGCTGTGTGAATGTGTAAATGAACAGATTAATAATATCACAGCTTCATACAGAGCACGACAGATCTGACTATAACTACATGTGTGTATTCCGTTAGGTTCATGTGTTGCTTAGATCTATTCTTATGGTGTGTGTGACAATAACCCTAACCCAGGCCCCAGGTGGGTTTTAGTCCCTCCATGCGCCCTAAACACAAGGTACAGATCTTGTGTGTTAGCAAGTTATGAAGCATTACTGTCATGGCTATCTTTTGGGCTTGAAATGTATTTTAATCTGAGGGTAAGGAAAACGTGAATGCTTTTTGTTCTATAGAACATTGGGTAGTGGTGCACTTCAGCTTCTTGTGGCTGAAATGAAGATTACAACAACAAACACATAAAATGGTCCTGGATAACTTTTGTAACCAGTTTTACGAAACAACATTTTTTTTTAAGTCATAGACTTCATAAAAATGGATTTTCTCTCATGGCTTCCTTAAAAGGAGAATTAACTGCAGTCGTAAAAATTCAAAGCAGAAACTTCAGCCTCTGTGGCAGGAGGATTTATGGACAAAAAAACAAACATTTTAAAACTCAAAATCAGTCATCAGTAGTAAAGATGGCTCCTACTCCGGAGAGAGTCACTGCGGTGCAATAATGTTAGCAATACTTACACTGAGCTGACAGCTTGTCGAGAACAGGCCGAAGAGTGTCCTCGATGTCTCTCATTTGGGCTGTGAAGTCTGAGACCGTTGGGTTGTTGACACCCTGGATCCAGTCCATCTTGGCAGAGCATGCACGCATACAGATGTTCTGTGCAAAGGTTGACACGAGAGACGGGAGAAAGGAAAGACATGCTAGCACTGTTGCTATTTTCATTTTATATCATTATTAATATAATTCCATCCACCAAGGAGATTATGTTTTTGCTCAGGTTTGTTCGTTGGTCAACAGGATTACGGAAAAAACAGAAGTCTTAATTTTATGAAACTTGGTGGATGGGTGTAGCTAGAGCCAAAGTAGAACCTGTTCAATTTGAATCTGAATCAGGAGGCGGATTGTTTTTCACTTGGCAGAGTTCTGCGCTCTATAGGGCCCCAGGACCAATTAGCAAGTGGGAATATTGAGGATGCTTTGTGAAGCTGAGAAAATGTAAAATGTTGAAACAATTCATGAAATGTCAGCTGTAAAGGCCCGGCTCCCCTCATCCCTGCTAATACTACACACACTATATTAATTCATAATATACAGTTAGTAATAACCAATATCAAAGCTATACACGTAAATGTTTTTGAATCCCAATGTAGAGAAAATGTATCACCTTTTCCTGCTTTGTAAGGCTCCTCCCTGGGTCAGAAACAAGGTCCTTAACAAAGTCTACATATGAAGTCAGATCCTGTTTAGCTGCTGCACAGAAATACACACAAACACAGGTTATGAATTATAAACATCATTACTAATCAACACACACACACGCACACATACACACACCGGCCAGGATGAGACAGTCAGCGCAGTCCGTCCTGGAGTAGGTCCTGGCCAGGTCCACAGGCCGCTCCCCTCTGAAGGTCTTGGCCTGCATGTCAGCTCCCAGGTCGAGCAGAGTCCTCACGGTCTCCAGGTGGCCCCAGCAAGCAGCGAAGTGCAGCGAGGAGTAACCTGCGGGACAAAGAGCATCCCTTATGGGGCCAGCAACTGGCGGCTCACACGGGTGAAGAAAACATACTAACCTAGCTGCTTTTAGAGTGTGTTTGTCGGCCAGCTGAGAAACATTAAACAGGACTGTTGGTGATTGTCACTGTAAAGGGAAATGTTAATTCAGTAGAATAGAACAGATACATACACAGTACTCTACACACATTTATGTCTAAGATATGTTTCATTTCTACACACACATTTTACTTGTTTTTTGTAGGCTCATATTGGCAAATTTAATACACTTTTAATACAACAAATGTGCCAAATTCAAAGTTTGATCTGTGTAATTATTCATAAAAACGCAGTTGTCACACCCACTTTTCGGCCTGCTCACCTCTGACCGTCTGCTCGTCCACCCGGGCCCCGTGTCCGACCAGCTCTCGGACGATGGCGCTCCTCCCCAACATGGAGGCGGTTAACAGGGCATTCCTCCCGGCCTCGTCCTTCATTCCGCACGGATCCATTTCCTGCGACTCATTGCGTTCAAAATGCTCCTTAATGATCTCCAAGTCCCCAGACAACACGCATTGAAAGACGTCTCTCTGTATCGATGTCATTTTTCAACGCACGTCTTTGCTAGCTAGCTACCTGTCCCGCACACACTGGAATGTACTGTTTCCATGGTTACAGCGTCACCGCCGTAAAAACCTGTATGTGAACCTTTGTAGCTTATATTTATTTAACTTCAGCAATCACAGGCTTTAAATAACCTTAAATTACAGACAAGGACCTGTTTTACATGTCTCTTTTGGTAAAACACAAACACAGTCCAACAACACGCTCTTTTAAAATAAAAGCAGCCTCCCTTGTTCTGCTTCACCTGTGATTTTATGGATTGTAAAATAGTATTTTAATGTCATGCTTTAGTTATATCACTTTGATCATTGTCAATGTCTAACTTTGTTTAACTCCTTTGGGCACATCACATGTGACCATGTGACGTGTCACAGGTGATTTCTTTATTTTTAGAAGTTAGTCAGTTTACATTAAATACTAAATCGATACCTCTAAATAATTATTCCACCTTTAACACAACTGTCCTGTCAATGTTTCATTTTCTAAATTACGTAGAGATGCGTAGGCTAGCTATGCATTAAGCTATTTAGCTTTTTTTTTCTTTAGAAATAATTTTTCATGAGCAGTCCCATCCAGAGAAGTGTGTGTCCTTTAATAAGGACACACACTCTGTGAACGCCGCAGCTGGCTTCACCGCGGTTCCATGGTGTAATGGTTAGCACTCTGGACTCTGAATCCAGCGATCCGAGTTCAAATCTCGGTGGAACCTAACCTAATGTTATAATAATGATAATGCAGTATTTTCGAACGCATATAATGTACAAGGTACATGACGTATCTCTGCTCTGCGTCACGATGGCGGAGAAACATTTTGAGTGAAGCAGCCTTTTGTTGACAGTTCAATTAAACTTCATCGCTAAGAAAACACAAATAATTGATGTCCCTACATTCACATGGGGGTAATTGGTATGCGTTTTGTTTTCAGCCAGTTTCTGAACTTTGTTGTCCTAACTGAAGCGGCTGCATTCAGACACCTTTTCTAGTAGCCTACTTTCTGTATAACCTCAGATTTTTGTTCCTACTACCTTCTCCTCTACTGTACAACTGTAGGCTGCTTTGAGGGAAATTGTGTAACATGATCCCCGACATAGTGAAAATACTTTAAACAGGTCAATACATCATCTATGGCACTTTTCACTGCAGTTGGCGGCGATAATCAGCAATACACAATGCTCTGCCCGCGATCCCGCCGGAAGTGTGACAGCATTCGCTTGAAACGGAAGCGGAACCGCGTTTCGGTTTGTTTAGTGTGAACGTGTGGAGAACTTTTAACGTTGTAAAATTCCGCTTTGTTTTGCTCCCCAGCATACACCAACGAACAGCTCTACCATTTCATCTCCGGTCCAATTCACGATGTTTAACCGACAGACGAGCCTGTGGATGGGTGATGTATGTTTGAAGTCTCTGTTTCTCTCAGTGTGGGAACGCTAACGTTAGCTTAGCCTAGCTACACGCGCTGGCTGCTAGCTCGGTTGTGTTAAGTTATCCCGGATATGTGACCCCTGTCGTGAAAGGTTAGGCTGAACTTCGCTCTATGCTACTTCGCTGGTGAAACCTGTCACGACACACTGCATTAACACGTAGCCAACAATGGTGGTCAGATGATTCACCAAACACCGCTCTCAACCCTAGTGTTGGCTAACCAAGTGACTTGTTTCGAGCTAACCTCAAAGTTCACATTAAACCAAAAGCGAATAAGCAGAATTTGCATTAAGTAACGCCAGACGAAATGAGAGCGTGCTCTAGAGAAGTCTCTCAACTCGAAAGGCTTATGTTTGAGTTTGTTTATTTCATTAATAATGGCGCCATTCCATATATGTTTTGGTGTGTAGAGGCCCTTGTGTTTTGTATTCCTACTCTCGTGTAGGACTGTTTTGGGACACCAGAGGGGCACAGAGCCACCATTAACGTTGTTAGCTACACCCATATAACAATTTATTACTTATTACATTCTAAAAGTAATGGTCCGTCATATTTCCCAAGTAGTTTTACTTAATCACTTATTAACTGATTGTGTAGCACCATCTAACTAGAGCGGTCCGTTAACAATGCTGTTTTTGTAATAACAATAGCGTTACACCATTTTGACATTATATAAACAAAGGTGTATGCATACTTCTGCACTGTTATTTGTTGTGTAAAAGTGTATGTGGTGATTGATGCATGTACAATTTCTTTCCATGTGTGTTTAGTTGGACCCATACATGGATGAGAACTTCATCAAGCAGGCATTTAGTGCTATGGGAGAGTCGCCGTTTGGAGTCAAGATCATCACTCACAGGATAACAGGGTAGGATATACAGACGCGTTATGCACACACACCAGCCCCTGTGTTCAAGTGTTGAAGACGACTGTAACAGTATTAGTTGTGCTGGGAGGTTTTCCCATAAACGGGAAGCCCTGCAAGTGGTTACGCACTTTGTGACTTATGTCTGTAAAAAGTGCTTTATAAATAAATCTTACTTACTGTTGCATTGCTTGTGTAAATGGTTTCTCTCTCTGTCCCCGTGTGCAGTGGTTCAGCAGGGTACTGCTTTGTGGAGCTGGCAGACGAAGCGAGCGTTGACCGCTGTGTGCAAAGGCTGAACGGGAAACTGGTTCCTGGATCAAACCCGGTCAGTTCTATGCTGTAATTTCAAAATACTTCCTCATATATCTTTTTTTAATGCAATCCTTACTGCAATATATACAATTATTGTTTCTTCGCAAATATACATATACTATTGACAATATAATACTGCCTTCCTTTTTTTCCCAGTATTGGACTTATGTTATCGAGCAGTATTTAATTGTTGATTTGACTGTGGATAGTGGAGCTCCACTAGTCTTGGTCCTCTTTTTGCTACAACAGTAACTCAATAGTATATAGTATATATAGTATGAGGTTTGCTCTGTAAACGCACCCGATTCTTGTTAGTACAACGGATCTGTTTGATTTGCTGTTTCACTACAGCTATTGTGCTCCCCAGTGAATTTAAACAAACAATGCTAAATACCCGTTACAGATATTGTACTATGTGGAACTGTATTCCTTATCTGCTGCTGTGACAGCACGTCTTCTTAAGGGTCGGCTGATGTAAAACAAAAAAAGTGACGCCAGCTTGAAATTGTCCCAAGTCTCAAGTGGTGTGTCGAGTTGTGAGCTTTAGCCGCTTGCTACTGAATTTGAAGCGCTGCTGGCCCCTGTGAGCCGGCCAAGCTACTGGGCTCCCCTGTCCACCGGCCTGTACCTGCTGCTGAGAGGCTGCTTGTACACAAATGTACTTTGTTTGAAGCTGATGAATAGAGTCTCTGGTAGCAACTAACTGAGGAATGGGCTAAAGGCTGGTCTGGGTGGTGGAGGTATGTAAACTCAAATAACAACAACCATAATAACGGCACTCTCCATTTCCAGCAATATCAGTGCTATACTACACGTCGTTGGTGTTCGAGGTTTGGCTCATGTGTGTGTGTTTTCTCTCTCTCCCCGTGCAGCCCCGGAAGTTTAAGCTAAACTATGCCACCTACGGGAAACGGCCAGAGGCGGGGTAAGATGTGATTCACACCAAACTTGTCACTCCCTGTCATTGGGATCAAGTAGCAATTCTTCTCAGACTTGAGGAAATGCAGTTCCTTTGATGATATGAAACTGCATGCTGATAGTGTTTGTTATGCTATTAAAGAAATGAGAAGATTTTGGTCTTCACACATCAGAAAAGCACTCATTTATTTGTCTGCTTTTAGGTAAACGGGGGAAAATAGCAACATTTCCCACAAACCCAGCTGCCCCTGTTAATGCTGGACAATCGGCACATTAAAGAGAGGGAATATTTGATCAAAGCTTTTCCTTCTCTCAGGCCAGAGTTCTCAGTGTTTGTGGGCGACTTGGCCTCCGAGGTGGACGACTTCCAACTGCACCAAGTTTTCAAGAAGTACCTTTCCTGCAAGGGAGCCAAAGTGGTCACGGACCAGTATGGATACTCCAGGTACGTCGGCTGACAGAGGCTGACAGCGACGTGGCTTTGTTTGAATATTATTGTAAGAAATACACAATAATATATAATGTTTCTGTGGTGTAATGATTATGTAAATAGAAGTTGACCACCAGTACATCTTCATCTATTTTCCAAACAAATGGCTGAAGAAATGTTCACTTCCCGTCTTTTATGCTAAAACTATTGTTTTCCCCATATAGGCTAAGCAAGAGCAACTCACAATTCAAGTGATGCTACCTCATGTTAAAAGTAAAACAACAAGTTTCAGTTCTACCATAATAATACCCATTATATACTGTTTCTCATTATAAGTGGCTTATTGAATGCCATGTATGGAGTGTGTGTCGGTGCGGAGAGGATGCCTAACTGTGGTTTCACCTGCAGAGGTTACGGCTTCGTCAAGTTCGGGGAGGAGGGTGAGCAGAAGAAGGCCATCGAGGAGTGCCAGGGCACCATGCTGGGGGGCAAGCCGCTCCGACTCAGCATCGCTGTAGCAAAGAGGTAGGACGCCGACACGGACACGTGCACTCCTTCCAAGATTTAATGCACCACGTCATAACAATATGAAAACACCTTGTGACATAGATTTCAATAGTAATTGTTGTAGAGCTGGGATTCTCAGTAAGCAGCTTGTTGGTCATGAAGTATTAAAACACAAACGGTATAATCTAAGTTCCATCAATTTCAATGTTCACACAATATTCACATTCTAATTCAACATGCGAAACCTGCGCAGCTATTGTTTTTATATGGCTATTGATTGTCTTTAAAGCTGTTATTTCTGCACAGTTGCAGATAAAGATTAGGCAACACTAATATTGCTTGTAGCCTAATATACTAAAGTATTTGTAGAATTACATTCTGTTGGTAAGATTGTTACTAGCTCGTGTGATCAGTAACTCTAGAGCGTTGTAAAGGCCAAACGTCCACATTTATTGAAACAATATAGATGTAATTATTTTCAAAGTTCACAACAAATTTTTAATCTAACAAATATTCTGCTTTACTCCATATTTGTTGGCGTTAAGCTTTGCAAAAAACACTTTTTCACTGCGGTTTGCTTTGCTTACACAAAGGGAAGCGCTGAAGAGTTCTGCTCATTCAAAAAAATGGAAAAAGAACAACGAATCACTTCATTTAAAATTGAGAATTTGGTCCCAAAGCTTCTTGATTTTTTAAATAAAATTAATATTTGTAATAAGTGAGTTTTGAGTGAGAGATGGAACCGCTTCGTGAGCGAGGAGCTCACATGCACTGGACACCGGATGGTGCAGGCAGTCTTTCCCCGCTTTGTCCAGTCGGGGTCGACCTCACTGAACCCTGATGACCACTTCACGCGTCAGCACCGCATCTCGCCGAGCATCCCATTAGGCTACTTAATATGAGTTTATTTAAATGGAATTTTTCCCAATTAACATTTTGTCTGTTGATCATTTCATCTGCCGGATAACTACACGTGATGCCGGCAGAAACGTAAACTCTGATGCATCGGCCTCGAGGACAGCCGGAATTATTTAAAGATTCAACGTGGTGACCGGGTTTTTGGTCCGTGAGATTGTTTTCACTTTAATGTAGCTGGCTTGATTTGATTAGTCGGGTTAATCAAGTGAGAATGTCGTCAGCTTCATCCTTTTTTGATATTAAGGGTTGGTGTCAAAGTGGATGTGAGTGGATTTTCAGCAGTGGTCAAAAAAAAAAAAAAAAAAAAGTGAAGTTACACAAAATGAAAGTAGTCAGTGATAAGTACCTCAAAATTGTGCTTGAGAACAGTCCTCCATCATGTCAGATGTGTACGTGTAATTTCCTGTCGAACATGAAACAGAAGCTCAAAGGCCATCCATAAATAATTCTTCAGTTTTGTCCTCTTTTCTACGCTCGTGTTTTCTGGATTTGTATTGATCTCACACCTTGAAATCCATTTGGATTGAGACACGTGGTGAATTCTAACTGGCTAACCGATGATGACTGTTGAAGAGATGAACAACCTGTACTATCTTTTAAATTCCATCTTGAAATGAAGAACTGAGCTTATTCAAAGTGCCCCTCACTAAGTGTTAATGGAACCCTGTTTTATTTCTTGTTTTGCAGCCAGAAGATGAGCAACTACCATGGTGGCCAGGGCCAGAATTACCATAGCAACTACAACCAGTCCCAGCCCGGTTACTATGGCAACCAGGGCAACGGGGGTCAGGGGGGTTACTACTCTCAGTGGGGTGGCTATGACCAGTACAGCGGCTACAACAACGGCAGCTACGGCGGCTACGGCGGCAGTGGCTACAACTACAACTACGGGCCCTATGGGTACCCCCCACCAGGCCACGTGGTACCACCACCTCCAGCGGGGATGCCACCCACTGACATGTCGGGAGCTGTGGAGGTGAGGGACATGCTTTGAGGCCCATGCTTAAAGGAGTAGATCGACATGTTTCGTGCGGTCAGTAGAGAGATTGGTCCAGGATGTTGGCGAGGGGAGCCTAAAGAAATAAGTAACAATCTACCTGCCAGGTGGATTATGTCTTTGTCGGGCACAGAGTTCACTCTCATTGAAAACAAAGGCTCGGTCTGATCAGGGCCAATGGTGCTTCATCAGAGTGTGACAGTCATTTCTACGTCCTGGAAAGGAAAGTCCTTGGAAACCACAATTGGCCATATTTCTACAAACAAACAGTGTAACAACAGTCAGAAATGTTAGCTGTTTATTATATCTCCAGACTTGGATGTAGGGCTGGGCAATATGACCAAAAATGCATATCACGGTATTTTGTAAGACTCTGGCGGTTTCACGGTATATCACGGTATTTTTTTTTCGCGTTAAAGCATTAATTAACGCAGAAAAGAACCGGCCAGCAAGCGGTGAACAGCTGTTTGTGTGGCGTGTCTTCCGTTCCGTCACTTCCTGTTTCCTTCACCTACATTCCCCTGGGTCCTAAGCCCCTCCAAGTACAGCTTCTTATCACCCTCTATGTACCAACGTACATTTATAACAAATACCACACATATTACACGGTAATATGTGTTGTTCATCCTGCATCGCTCTTTTCTGTTCTTTAATGTAACGTTACTGGAGCGAAAGAGCCTCTCCCAGCTGTTAGCAGACTGTTGTTAGTGAGCTGTACCCACAATGCAGTTCGGTGGGGAAATTTTATTAATGTACAATTATTAGTGTTACAAACTGTTGTGTCGTGGTGTTTTGCCCTGTTGAAGAGCATTAGTTGTGGGTTGTTAATTGTTATAAAGTTATAACCATGACTAGGGTTCCCTCTCAATACACTTAAGACAACTAGCTCCAAACGTAGCGCTCTCAGGGGCGAACAATATATTTTGCTACCTGTTGAAGAGCGACAGAAGTTGTTTCGGCACAGTTGTTTCTGTGACGGTATATGAAAAATTCATATCATATGGGAAATTAAAACCGGTATACCGCCCAGCCCTACTTGGATGTATGTGATACATGCACACATTCCATATTTAGAATGAATTCCCAGTGTTTCATGTCTTCCTCAGCAGAGTCACGAGGAGGGTGGTGATGTAGACGGGGATAATTCAGAAGGTAAGACCCTTTTTTTTGTCATGAAAAGCATCGTTAGTATCACACTGGTTCTCGCAACAAAAAGCCAATAGGATTCTTCCATTGGCTTTTTGATTATTTCAGAAAATAATAATAATAATAATAATACATTTTATTTATATAGCGCTTTTCATAGTACTCAAAGACACTTTACATTAAAATCATCATATATAAAAGCAATACACTAAAAACATAAAATACACAATAATGGTCACACATTAAAAGCAGTTTTGAAAAGGTGGGTTTTGATTTGGGATTTGAATATGGAAAGGTCAGTGCAGTCTCGGATGTGTTTGGGGGGAGAGTTCCAGAGGGAGGGGGCAGCTATGGAGAAGGCTCTGTCACCCCATGTCCGGTGCTTGGTCCTGAGTGGAAGAGACAGGAGGTTGGCATCAGAGGAGCGGAGCCGACGGGATGCAGTGTGGTGGTGAAGCAGGTCGGTGAGGTAGGAGGGGGCCTGATTATGGAGGGCTTTGTGAGTGAGGAGAAGGATTTTGTATTTAAATAAGCTCTGTGATCTTTAGTAGTCTCATGTCTACATGTCTCACACGGTAGCAACCTCCTTTTTTAAGACACATAAAATCGCCAAAATTCACCAGTGGGTTCATAACAAAACAAAACGTTAGCATCTCTTCAGCTTGGGTTAATCACAGACCTTATTTCAGACATCTAACCAAAAACTCTGACTTTGAGACAAGGGGACAGGAAGTGCAAAAATGCTGAGTGATTGTCATGTCTTGTGACAGTCTATTATCATACTGGATATGCTGGTAGCTTAAATCAGACAGTTCCATATTTAAAATAACTGGTTATGTCTACTGCATATCTAATGGTAGTTAGTCTTGTCTTTAGGAGTTCTCGTAAGCTACTAAGACGTCAAGTGTTAGACAGCGTTTGTGTTGTTATTGCTTTTGACTTGTGACACCGTGCATGTGTAAATGTCATTGCTGTGGTATTTTACAGAGCCCATCCCCGACTGTGACGTGGAGCAGTGGAACAAAGATTTCATGCAGCGGAGCGAGGAGCTCTACGACGCCATGATGGGCTGTCACTGGGAACCCCTGGACTCTGTTAGCTCCCCTATCCCTTCCCTCTCCTGATAAATCATCTTCTGATCCCTCTTTAAAGCTGAAATATTTCTTTTTTGGGAGCGATTTTGTACTTCCCATGATGTAGTACCACATGGACACCTTTTAAAAGGGCCAGCTTCAGTTCACTCTCTCAGTACACACAGATGTTCCTCTTCATATATTCAAAAGTACACACAACTATTCACTTGATTTTAATGTTTACCATGTTGGTAATATTCAAGAGGTAATCAGTGACGTGTAGTGCACACTGTTTCGTATGAACTCTATAAACCAGAGCTCCAAGTTTTGGGAAGGAGGTACTGAAGTAGTTTTCAATATTTCCCCTTTTAAAGATATCTGTGAGGAACATACTTAACTATCATTTCTTTTTTATGTAGATCCATGATGAAATGGTGACACCAGCAGAAGCTGCAATAGTACAAACATTGCCTTAATTATCATTTGCCCTGCGGTTCCTTTTTAATCTACGATGGTCGTCAAATTGACCGAGTTTATACAGGATGTCTTTCTTCTGGTTTTTTTTATAAATGAAGGAATTTTCTTGTTTTTTTATTTTTATTTTTCTGTTAATGGAAGTTGGACGTAAAAGTATGGAAAGATGATGACATTGAGTTGAACCAACAGTAATAATCAATCACGAGTGTAATTTATCAATATTTTCCACACAATGAGCTCAGTGTCTTGTTTAATAGATGGATGGTGCAACCTCCTCCCGGTGTTTGCTGTATCAGATGTCCAGGCAGCATTTATTCTCTGCTGTTTGATTGCTGATGCTTTGTATATATTTTCTTTGTGGAAATGTTTTATCAATAAAACAAATTTAGGAGGAAAATTGTGTTCTGTCTTGCTGAACAAAACATGTAAATATAAACGTGTTCCCCACAGAGCTTATTTTTCATCCAAAATCCAGTGTAATTTGCTTTTTGTCGAGGGGACCAGTGCGATGCTTCCGAGTTAGCCTACAGAAACACATCATCCCTGCAGCACTATTGCAGGATTGTAATTCTCACCCTTAAAGTAGGCTACTATTGACACACTCCCGGCGGACGGCTCAGTTACATGAATCAATCATCCCCCTGTTCTATGATCGTGCGCAGCCATGCTAGCAACTCTGTGAGGCTGTACTTAAAAACAGCAGTGCTTTGAGCTAAATGCTAATGTCAGCATGCGGATAGAATGTTAACCACTCTCACCATCTAGTGCGTCAGCATGCATATGCTAATAAGCACTGAACTTAAAGGGACAGTTCACCCCAAATTAAAACAATATAGTTTCCTAGTTTTGGAGACATCGGGCATAGAGATGTCTGCCATCTTTCCAATATAATGGAACTAGATGCCACTCTGCTGGTGGTGCAAGAAAAATTGAAAATACATTTGAAAAACTCAACGACAATGTCTCTTTCCAGAAATCATGACCTGGTTTCTTAAGATGTTGTGAGCGGTTTCATGTAGGAACTATTTCCTTTTCTCTTATTTTATTTAATTCCATCTAATTCTATTCTATGTTACAGTAATAATGCATTTCTTTGCCAATGTAAATTACCTTGAATTTCCTCTGTGTCTTGTTTTACATAAAGCTGCCTCTCCTTTCCTTTGTCCTCCCTCAGTGAAAGAGCCGACACCAGATTTCTCTCAATTTGGAACAACATTGAGGATATTGTAAGCAGAAGACTTGTGTGATATCTACAATCAATGTCTGAACTTGTGTCATTTCTTTTTTTATATGCAACAGCTGGGTGAAAAGTGAAGAGACTGTTAATAGAACCAAGATCCAGTGAAAGTGGAGTTTTTAATCACTTCATTTAAAGTCTCAGAACACAAGTGACAGCAATGCATCTGAACAACGGAGAAAAAAATCTAACCAAACATTTAACTTTTCTGTTCAGATGCTTTGACATAGTGTATTATATCAAACGTGTACTCGTGCAAAATACGACACCGATAGAGAAACACATGGGTGTTTGATAGCATTTGTCAACCATACTACTAGTCCATCTTTCAAAAGCTTCACAGAACTAGGGTGGTTCATTACACAAGCTCTCCATTTATTGCATTTTTAATCGTTGAATTGATTTCGTTGTTAATTATCTTGTCAAATATCCATCAAAACCACTCCAGAAGTCATTTGTATTATTGTATTATAAACAAGCTGTGGTTTAGACTGGGTCTCTCAAATATTTCCAGCTTGTATCTTAATGGCAACCGTCTCTTGTCCTGAATTCCTGTCTTGTGGAGAATCATATACTGTCATAGATGGATTACTGAATGCGCCCATTGGGCACAGGCCCAGAGGCCCCCCAGGTGTTCAGCTACAAAATGTCACTCAAAGAGACTCAAAATTTCCACCATGAAACATAAAATAACTACAGAGACACAAAAAGACTAGGAAGACGCAAAGCACAGATACCACGAAGAGACGCAAAATGACTATAAAAAGGGGCAAAACAACCACAAAGAGACACAAATCAACTACAAAGAGATTCAAAACAACAACAACAAGAGGCTAAACAGCTTTAAAGTCTGTGAGTCGTTCTCCTATGTAGGAGAGGTGGTGTAGCCTTTAGCATGTCTGTGCCCGGTGGCTACTGGGACTCCCTGTCATGATGTACCAAGCCTTTTGATAACTCTAGCATGTATTTGCTGCATTCGCTTACATTAGAAAAGTTTGATACATATAGAGATATGGAGATATATCTTTTGAAAGTCCATTTGCTTGTTCCAGTTTTCATCAGGATATCTGGTCTTACTGCTAAAAGTGGACAACAAACACAAATGTACATCTCAAGTCATCTCCAAACAACCATGCAGACCTCGTTTTTTTATACAGCTGTGTCATTGTTAAGTTTCAGTTAATTGCAGTGATCATGATTCTGTTGTGCCTCCTCCGCTTCAGTACTGCTAGTCTTGGTGTTGAGCAATCCCAGTCCAGGCCTCCCGGGACAGTACCAGCTGGGCCCCTGGCGATACCAACCCTGGTACAGTCCCCTCCAGCTCAGACATCCCAGAGCGCCCCCTAGTAGCTGAGTGGGGAACTGAGGGAAGTAAGCTAAGAGACAGAGCAGCAGAAAGAGCCAGAGCCAGAGCAGGAGAACACAAAAGAGGAAGAGGATCCTCAGAGGGGCACCTGAGATCCCACCCAGGCTCAGATAAGGGCCAAACACGGCTGTTTCCTCAGCCAGCAGTAGGCAGCAGAGACAGAGGAGGAAGACATCTTCTGAAACTTCATACCCCCTCCACAGCATCCCAGCTTTGAGGCATTCTGACTTACTCTCCCCTTCTCGCAGCACCAACAGAGGCTGCCCGTTGGCGACCTCTGGGCTGGCGAGTAAAGGTTCGTAGCAGCTTCCTGTGGTGTTCTCCAGAAGGTCCAGGAGTTTACAGAAACCAAGCCACAATCCACCAGCCACCCCAAGCCGGGAGAGGTGACGGACGGAGAGAGAGAGGGAGCGACGGACGGAGAAGGAGAGGAGGAAGACAAAGGAGCCGACAAAGATGCAGGTCCAGCCCCAACCGGAGTGCAGGAAGATCCTGGAAGAAAGAGAGGAGAGATGTTTTAGACCGGAGGATGCCAGACGTGATGGGATGAATTAGATTTGATTATGACAGTAGTTAAACATCAGGACATAACTGAGAAAGTGGTGTAATTGTATTGACTCTTGTTCAGCGTGCACCCCCAAAGCTGAAGAACGAGTAATTCATGAACCCACAGCCCTTGACCCGAGGAGCTAGTTGGTCATGAGCACACACCCACTGAGTCGAAGAACACTGACTGACTGAGACCAGACTGGCGAGAACATTTTCTCTCATTCGTTGTGTATGTGAAGCCACTGATTCGCTGCACAAAGCATGCTGGGATACCTGGCGATGCATACCAGGTTGGCATTGCGACCAGAGGGCACTGGCAAAAAAATGTGGCGGTGGTGACACAAAAATGATTAATTTTTTTTACTCCTAACTATAAGAAACACAGAGAGCCATTATCTATCACCGAAGTCTCACATGTTTAATAATGTGCAATTCATTTGAACAAATAACATATTGAGGAGTAGAAAATACTCCACATAGCAGCCTGACAATAGAAGGCCAGGATTCAATTTATCAGAAATAATCTATTGTACTTCAGTTACTATCGGTCTTAATTCAGTTTTAAATCAAATTAAAATCAAGAATTTACCAGAGAGAGTTTTCACTTTACCAACTTTCTGTAGAATTCAGTAAGTAAAAATGTAGCCATTTTAGAAGTTATGCTGTGTACTAATTCATACTACAAACATGTAATCTCAAGTAAATTGAGTATGCAGTGCATTCATACTGTAAAAGTAAACTTAGTCAAAGTAAAAAACGTGTGCAAACAGAATTAACCTCAATATTGACTGTATTTACTTATGATAGAAGATAAGGCACTGCAGTGGGGAAAAAAGTCTGAATAACACATGAAGTGTCTGCAGTTAAAAAAGAACAACGCATTTAGTCTTTGCAAACAGAAATTACAGAAGACAAGTGGTCAGGAAGTAAAGAGGAAGTCAGCCTCACCTGTAGAGGAAGTGGCTTCTCTTGGCAAAGATGCTGTGCTGGGAGACCCAGAGGCTCAGTGCCGGGCCGATCATCACCACCACTGACAGCAACAGGTGGAAGTGCTTCCGGAAGGCAGTGTTACCCAGGAGCAAAGCCGCCAGGTCCGTCAGGACCACCAGCACTGTGTTGAGGAACATCTGGACCCAGAACCAAATTACAACTTAGCTTAATATTACTGTATGAAAGTGGACTTGAGTTTGTGTAGATTATCCACCTAAGACTAAATAGCATGCACTGTTTCATGCGATAAGTCTGTAATCCTGTATAGAATGCACTTAGTGGATGCTGTGGACTACTTCTATTGTGTAACAGAACAATTCTAAGAAGTCCAAAAGTCTGGTTGGAATCAATCTAAACAAACTATATTATTCAAAGCTTGAGAGTGGATCCATTGGTGCATTGATGGACAACAAATCCAGATCCAAAAGTCCCAAAAAGTTGACTGTTTAGTAAAAAAATGTCCACTGGTATTAACTGCTAGTGTTCGCCATCCGTAGAGTGTGCTGTACAACATGAATGAAAAGACAGCTAGCCCCTAGCATTCCACAGACTGCAAATACGTGCACCCTGTAAAACCGCACCATGACACCTTTTAGTCCGGTAGGCACTCCTCCTGACTCGGTACTGCTTGTAGCTCCCAGTAGCTTCAGCGCACAGGAGTTATACCGAACAATGCAACCAAACCATCTAACGGTCACTCTGCTGGTTTTTCTTGCCGCTGCAGAAAGACAAGTTGAGCTTTTCTCTTCTCTGACCATGTAGAGCGGGTTTCCCCACGTGTCTCCTGCCCTGTTTTTCCTCTTGTCCTGCTGTGATTGTCACTGGCCACCTCTGGATAACTTCTGCAGAAATGCAATACCGCTGCGTTACCCCGAGAGACGTCCAATGGTTGCAGGAGTAATACCTCCACTGATCGAATTATCTCCGCTGTAACTGGGTCTTCTCTGCTCTTCTCTGTCACTCACGCACCACCCTCTCTCCAACACACAGAGCATGTTCTCGCCCTGTCGAATGCCTCCTGGGCCTTGAAGGTGTCACATTGCTCCTACTGAGATGACTGAAGGGTATGGAGAGGTTGAACCAATGACATGGGTTCCTTGGTGTTAATATGGATATCGCAAGGTTTCTGACTCATTTAGTCTCCATTGTCAGCAGAGTCAGAGGTTAAGAGTAAGTTAAGCAGCGGCAACAGAACCAGTGTTACGGATAAGTCACAAATTAAGTGTCAACAACGATTTGAAATTAGATGCAATGAGTCAGAATTTGTGTGTGTGTGTACGTGTGTTTTCAAGTGTATTATTAGCAATAACCTTTGTACTGTATCTGGGCTGAGACTCAGCTGTTGCAGCAATCTGTCCCTGTCAATCAGTGTATGGTAACACACACACAGTCCACATTTACTGTCCTGCTCAGATATCACCACACTGTCTCTCATATCATGGCAAAAATATCATAATGTATCTACATCACTTCATTACAATAAGACATGAAAGGTTATACTCTATAAGCAAGCTGTATCTGTGATGGACTAACAAGAGTTAGTGATTTATGGCCGCTTCAGTCAGTGCAGCGCTCAGGGTCTGAAAAGTGAAGCCAACACGAGAGTACCTTAAAGCTGCATTCTCTCTAGTGTCCATCAGGGGGCGACTCCTCTGGTTGTATAGAAGTCTATGAGAAAATGACTCTACTTCTCTCTTGATTTATTACCTCAGTAAACATTGTAAACATGAGTTTATGGTCTCAATCTCTAGTTTCAAGTGTTCTTCAAAACAGCATGATGTTCATTTACTAAATTATGGTCCATTTAGAGTCACATAGACCATAAAGCAGAGTATGCTTTAGGGCTACTTTTTAATTGTCAGGGTTAACCACAGGGTTGTCTTTTTTCGTTTTAACTTTTCAGTGTGTTTTCAGTTCATGAAAGTTAATTGTAACATTTTGGTCGCCTAATGTCTTATTCAACACTCGGTTGTACTTAGCTCACGCTTTTGTCAAATTTGGTTGCAAAAAGCCAAGATGGTGACGGCCAAAATGCTTCATGGCTTCAAAACAGCAGTCCACAAACCAATGTGTGATGTCACAGTGACTATGTTCATTTCTTAAATACAATTTATGGTCTTTCTTCCAAAAGGCGCCAGGCTTGTTCCAACATGTGGACTTAGTTTGTCCCAGCAAATTAGTTCTACTAAAAGGCAAAGTTTGACATTTTGGGAAATACAGTTATTGGCTTTCTTGCTGACAGTTAGATGTGAAATGCTAAAGCTAAAGCCAGCTAACTTAGCTTGATATAAAGATTGGAAACAGGGGGAAGTAGCTAGCCTGGCTCTGTCCAAAGGTAACACAATCCACCGGCAAGCACCTCTAAAGCCTCTTTAATCTGTACAAAAACTCGTGTGTCACCAGTCTTCCGAAAGGCTGTCAAAATTTCCCAATACTTACTATCTAGCTTGACAGCTTTGAATACTAACAATGGCCATGTCCATTGTTTACAATCATTATTGTAGTGTTAGGTGTTTTCTTGCATGTGAATGAGACATGAGGTAGTTGGATACAGTTAGCGATGACAATGATGCACTGCAACTCGTCCTCCAGCAGTAGTCAGGCAGTGGGCCTTCATGTGTTTTGGGGGAGTGGCTTTGGAGGGAGGACTGAATAGATTTTATTCTTGCTGGTTTCTACAAAGTTGCCTACCCCAGCTTTAATGGTTCAAAGGTGCTGGACAACAGACAATAGAACTTTTTTCAGAGCCAGGCCCACTGTTTCCTTCTGTTTCCAGTTTTTGTGCTAAGCTAAGCTAACCAGCTGTTAGCAGTATAGAGTGGTATCACTAACACTAACACATCTAACTCTGGGCAAAAAAAAGCGTATAAGTATATTTCCTAAAATGTCTAACTATTGCTTTAAGACAGTCATAACTGCGGCTGCTGTATTTGTTGGATCTCAGCTATAATCAAAGTCTGTATTTCAGTTCAATTAGTTTGAATGTTGTGTTCATGTTTGCGCTAAAAATAAAAAAGGAGGATGAGCATGCTCCCCGGACAAATGTAGGTTAGTCAAAAGGTTACATGTATTTTTAATCTTACAACTAAAACATGGATCAAGAGGTGTGTAATTCAACATCTGGCAGGTTCCTCTCATTTGGTGCACTGTCCCTTTATGTCTTTATTCATACTATAATCTGCTTCTGTCTCATCATTTGCTGTGCTTTGCATTTCTGAAATGTCTGAGCTGGACTCTCCCGTCTGTCAGTTTCTGTTTTGAACCAGCCTGTAGTCAGTCCAGAAATAAAAGTCGAGCTGGTTTGGAAGTGTTGAATGTCTGCCTACTCCCTTTCCAACTGCTTGCAGAAAGGCTGATGGTACAGACAGCATTCGATCCACTACATCTGTTACCTCACCTCTGAATAACATAAATGCCAGGACAGTTACCCTCTGTAGAAAAGTTTGCCAAATTGAGGCAATGTTTCTTCACATTTGGCAAATCCATAATTAACAATCAATTTACTTTTTTAAGGAGAGGTGATCATGAGATCACAGGAAACTACACGTCTTGCTCGCATTGGACATCTATTGAAAGGTCTCGTCCTGCTATATAAGTGATCCTCAGATGTCTCCGCTGACTCATCCAGTCTGCAGCCAGACTTCAGTTACAAAGGCTATAAATAACAACGTTCACACAGTGACCAGACAAATAGAAACACTTCTGCTGGGCAATGTAATATAATACACACAATACATATAGTTCTGCAATAGATCCAACTCATGTGCAGATTTTGAGACAATGGGCCCCTGGACATAGACGTGCAAAAGCCCCCACCACATCTCCTCATAAGTCACACAGACTTTATATTTGTTTAGCCTCTTGTTGTTGTTTTGTGCCTCTTGGTTAGTTGTGTTGCCTCTTTTTGTAGCTGTATGTGTCACAGGGTGTGGTGGCGGACCCAAACGCAGGCTCAGACCAGGGAGTACGAGAGTGTAATGGTTTATTTACAGGTAATACACAAGGGAAAAACAATCAGTGAACAGCAGGGAAATCCAGGCAGACTGGGGAACCCGGAGGATGAACCAAACTGCAGGAACAGGAAGACAGGGTAAATGCAATGAAAAATACCTGGAAAAAACTCTGAAATACTTTCAAAACAGAGCAGCTGAGAATGAGCAAACTACCACGTAAGTTGTAACAACGATCTGGCGAAGAGTTGATGAAGAACCGGGGTAGATATACTGTTGAGTGATGAGTTGATGGAAGGCAGCTGGGTTGACTGGGCAGGTGAGGTGAATTGTAATCAGGAAGAAGCCGGGAGGAGACCAGGTCGGAGCCACGCCCACACACACACACAAACAAGGACAAGCAGGGAAGAGCAGGAGGCATGGCCTGGCCGTGACAGTACGTCTCTGTGGTCTCTTTGTAGCTGTCTTGCATTACTTTCGAGTTGTTTTGGTCTTTCTGTGTCTCTTCACATTTTGTAGGTGAAGGCCAGGGGGGGCCCTGACAGTTTATTTTTTCAATCCTGCTCCTGCTGTCAGTCCCCACTAGAACTTTATGGGGACTTTATGGGAACTTTAAGCTGACTCCTTCTACACAAAGCTTGTAAGGCTGCAGATGACTTAGCAAGGAGAGACACTCGCACGTCCTCTCTGAGAAGAACCCCACTGATTATGTGGCCTAAAGCAAGACCCCAGGCTTCTGTTCTGAATCTGACCCTGACCTCCCTATGGAAGGAGACCAACACAATATGACTATAACAAAATATCACCAAGTTAGACTCATGATATTGGATGTCTGCATTATTTCCAGCCCCGCTCAGTTTAAACAAGACTGCCGCTGTGTGGATCAACTGTGACTCTACAGTTTACTCCGACACAGAGGGGAGAGGGCTCACAGTCAGGAACAGTTAGGTGATTCATTAGTTCCTGTATATAACAATCTGTGCCAACATGATGAACTCTGCTTTGAGACATTAATCAAAGTTAACAGTGTGATAATCTATAGCTCTGTCTCTGCTTTATACAACACAATAGTGATTCATCTCAGCAAATCCATGAGAGCTTTACAGTGGCCACAGTGGGGCATAAACTCTCTCTCTCGCTCTCTCTCACACACACACACACACACACACGCACACGCTTTGCTAACCAGCTCACATGGTCATGCCACATTTATCATGCACCATGATAAATGTGTGCTTCTTTAATATTTGTCAAACACAGTTTGGTCAACAGAAAAAAGTTCATGTTTGGCTTTCTCTTTGCTCCGTGTTGTTTTAGGAATATATTTAGCTTGTAATACAATTTGCTGAATTTAAAGGTCGACTTCATCTGCGTTATTTTTCTTGTTTTTTCAAATGGAAATGATTAGCCAATAGCAAAAAGCAAGATGCAAAATGTATTTTAGACACCTAAAAATATCTGTGTGTATGTAAGTGTATGCTATATTTAGAATGTTTTCACTGCTTTACACTTGGCATCATGCAGCCCTTTCTGATGGGTAAATGAGGTAAAATTACTGCTTTTGTCAAAGGAGTCTAGTGACTTTGAACAGAGCATAGATGGATATAATGGTGTCAGATCCCCATCAGAAAGGGCTGATAGTGAAAATAATCTAAGTATAGCTTACTACATGTATGTGTTGAGGTGGTTTTAAATACATTTTCCTGCAGCACCTATCCACAGCAGTACATTACTTTGCTCTTGTGCTGGTACTCCTGTCTGTTTCACTCTATGATTGGTAATACACTGACTATAGAAGTACCTCACACAACCCTACTTCAAACAATCCAAACTATCCCTTTAATGCTGGAGGATACCTCACATTGTAGTTCATTCATGGCCACCATGCATCCCAAAGGAAATGTCATTCCATATTTCGATATTGACATATATTACCATATAGCATGTGTTATGGTAGTTCAATAGATAACTAGTCTATATGAAATATCCACATGGTAAAGCTTATTTTTGTATACTCTGTGTGAATGAAATACTTGACAAATGGAAAATCATAATTTATTAAAAGAACCTAAAGGGCAAAATGAGCAAATATTTTTAAGTGACATTATCGATGTCACGGGGTGGTGTAGCGGACCCAAACGCAGACACGAACAAGGTTCAAATAAAGTGAAAAGGTTTATTTTACAGGGAATAAGGGTGGTGATCCTGGGCAGAGCAAGGCAGGACAGGCAGACCGGGGTGTAAGCATGGCAGGGAATGGATAGCGTTGTCAAGGCAGGCAGGGGAACCAGAGAGGATGATCCACTGTTATATTCTGGGTAATGGAGCTTAAAGGTTGGAGAAGCTTGTGACTGAGATGTTGCCATCCAGTTTGGTAATTGCATTGAACTGAGTAATAATGTGGAGAAGATACAGCAATCTTTAAATTACATTTATATGTCTCTTCAGATTCTCTGAGAAATTTGAGTTAGTATGTTCTTGTTATCAACATAATTGTGTATCACGATATCTCTCTTGGATTTCATCACAATATGACTCCAATGGAAGACTGTAAAGGATCATATTGAATTAAAGCTGCGAGCAGCATTGATCGGGCCCTCACAACTTCACGCACGTCGAGGGTACTAGCAGGACTCTGGCCATGCATTTCTGTGACCGTCATACACTGCATGCACGAGTTAAACGGTATTTCCTGGTACTGGCAGGACTCTGGGTGACGCGGCCATGAATTTCTGTGACCATCACACTCTGCGTGCACGAGTGAGATATTTCCTGCGTAGTCCAGCAGCGTAGCAAGATCATGTTGCCAGGTCTTAAGCCTCAATGTTTTGAGTGTACATCCGATACAATTATAAATGTAAGCCTTTAAAGATCATTAAGAAAATGAATGTGTGTGAATGTGCTTCAGTGTTTGTAACACCATCCCAGTAAATCAGTTTACTGGGATGGTGTTCAACTCCCTGCAACTCCAATAATGCCCACTGACATGGTTTGAGAACCACTGTTATCTAACTTTTGCTCTCCAAGCATCTTAGTTTGCACATATTTAGATCAGAGAAGTCTTTTTCTCATGGTGTGCCCACAAACCCTTTCAATAAGTTCAGTGTTTGGGCCGCAGTAATTATAGAATCCTGCTTACGTCCGTGCTTATCAGTAGGTGGCGCGATGACTATGAGTTAATATTGGCATGCAGAAGTCCCAAAGCCATGACAGTCAACAAGCATGTCAAGTTTGGGACAGTTTTGACAAAGTACAGTCGAATTACAACAGCTTGATGGATGATGGCGAACCATGTAAAATGGCCATCACACCATATCCACGTTGTTTGATTAAACCTAAAGCTTTTAGTAACTTTTAATTGCTAAGGTCTTTAGATTGTTCTGACCAAATTTGAAGTTGATTCGATTATTACCCTAGGAGGAGTTCGTTAAAGTAAAGCGCCTGGAAATGACAAACGACACCAGAAATTCATACAAAATTCAAAATGGCTGACTTCCGGTTGGGTTTAGAGCATGGCTCCAAGAGACTTTTTTTTAAGTCTACATGTGATACATCTGCATACCAAATTTTATACATCTAGGTGAAACGTACAGCGAGGGCTGCTTCGTCGAAATTTTGTAGGGGGCGCTATTGAGCCGATTTGCCACTCTGAACCAATAAAATCATATTATATAACTACATTTTGGGCTTTAAATGTGTATGCCAAGTTTGCTTATGTTTCGAGCATTTCTAGCCTCTCAAAAACACCTTAATTTTTCATGGTGAAGAATGCGTCGCCACAGCAACAGCTTTTCACGAAACAACAAGCTTTGAGTAAATTTTCATCACAAAGGTCTTTAGACTGTACCGACCAAATTTGAAGTTGATCTGATTAATTCCCTAGGAGGAGTTCGTTAAAGTGTAGCGCCTGGAAATGACAAAAACGACACTAGAAATTCATAACAAATTCAAAATGGCTGACTTCCGGTTGGGTTTAGAGCATGGCCCCAAGAGACTTTTATTTAAGTCCATATGTGATACATGTTCCTCCCAAATTTTATACATCTAGGTCAAACATACTGCGAGGGCTGTTCGTCGAAATTTTGTAGGGGGCGCTATTGAGCCGATTTGCCACTCTGAACCAAGAAAATCATATTCTATAACTACATTTCGGGCTTGTAATCTGCATGCCAAGTTTGCTTATGTTTCGAGCATTTTTAGCCTCTCAAAATGACCTTCGTTGTTAAAGGCGAAGACTGCGTCGCCATGGCAACGGCGTTCGACGAAACATCAAAAGCTTCATGAACTGGTATTATGAACTTCTTACATTTGTGTGGAAGTAAATTGATGTTGATTTGATTTACCTACCCTTCAACAACTTCTTACAATCTTCACAATGAAGCATTATCAAGGTCTTAAGGCTGTTCTGACAACATTTTAGAGGGATCTGATTAATCTGTGAGGAGCAGGATGTCAAAGTACACAACTTACAACTTCCCCAAGATCATCAGGGTGCCAAGCGTGAGGTATGTTCAGCTCATTTCTATGATGTAGCCTCTGGCACCGGGATACAGATTTTTCAAAGCAAAAATGATGTTTAATGATACATTTGATTCTAATGTCTGAAAGGTGGGTAGCATATTCTGAACATCTCGCATTAAAGGGTAATGATGATGATAGCATTAAGCCAGAGGACAGTGTTTCAAACGTTGCTAGCAAACAAGTAGAAACAGCGCATTGCTCATGGAGCAGCTTTAAAGGAAAAGCATGCATTGAAGGAACAAGAGCAGCTGAAGAGGAGAAGAGAACAACTTGAGCCTGAAGCTATGCTAGCTGCTTATGTCGTTTTCCCAAAGTAGCGTCAAACGCAATGAACTCCTACCTGGACAAGGAAAAGAGAAAGGCAGCAACTTCAAACGGTCTCAGTCCAATGGCAAAGTCAGAGCAAAGCACAGCAAAGTAAGGACTAGTCAGAGCCAGCAAGTAACCCAGCGCCTGTGCTGCCTCATATGGTCAACAATGGACATCTGGACCAAAGAGGAGTGGACTGATTCAGAAATGCAGAGTCACCATCACAACTTTAGGAACTCTCCCGGTTCAGTGAATGAAAGGCAACTCGGAGACATTTACCCCATAATGGAAATGTGCAAAATGAAATGACAGCAGCCCTTGTCCAACACATTTATTTAATGTTATTAAAGCTAATCCCTTTTTAGGATCCTCTTCAGTACATTTCCTTCAAAAGAGCATTGAGCAAGGAGTGGAGGAAAAGGTCATCAGAGGTGATTGCTTGTATTACCTGGAAGAGTTCACTAGAGGGCAGCCTGGGGAACTGGTGCATAGCTGCCAGCTTATGGCTCCTGATTATGGCTATGCTCAAGCAAAACGACTACTGCAAGAACACTTTGGCAATGAGTACACATTTGCTACTGGATACATGGACAATGCTTGGGCTTGGCCTTCAATAAAACGCGGAGGATGTGAATGCATTACAAAGACTACTCTCTTTTTCTGCGTTCATGTTGTAATGTCATGGAGAAGCTGTAGTACATGCGAGTATTGGATACGCAAAGCAATAGTCATGCAGTCCTGTGTAATTGCCATTGAAGCCGAGAGAACGACGGTGAACCGTTGTACATGATTTACTGGAAACATCCAACACAGAGCTCCTTACAAACATCTGGTAGAATTTATTGAAAACATGTCAGAATCCTATAGGGCCCTTTATTTGTCGACTTTTGGGATATTCTGGAACAACTGGTTCACAGGTTGTCAATGGGCTGAGGTCACAGCCATTCATAATAAAATAAACCACTTCTCTACAACCATAGGGGGTACATGTCATGTTCATTGATGATAATTATATTTTTTCTACTATTTCCTTCATAAATCCCATATTGTACTGTCTTAAGGGACAGTATATTATAAAACCAGAAACATATTTTGTGCGCACTGTTTCAGTTAGCTTGACATTGTCAAGATGTTCCTTAATTAACAGTTTTTGCAATGTCTATTTTTCAAATGAGTCAAAAATATTGATGAAAGTCATTAAAGTTAGCATGATCCATTTATTTAAAAATTCTAAATACTTAAATGCTTTAAACCCCATTTAAAATAATTAAATATCAGTTAAATATCAGTTTATGAATGTTACTAACTGAACATACCCCTACAACTAAAAAGGGTTTGTTCCAAAACCATGTGACCAGCATCACACAAAGGCATTTCTCTGAGGCAGCTTTTTGAATATATTCTCATGACCGGCCTCAATAAAAAAATATATATTATCTGCAATAGTACAATGTCAAGGAGTATATTAATTCACCGTCAACAGTGTTGGGGATATTTAAATGGTTTACTATTCTTTTACGATTCTGATTCAAACATATGTTGGTGTTTAAAGTTAACCTGATAAAGAAAATAAGTTGTTAGCCATGCTATAGACCTAGCATTGAAGTTATGGGCAAAAATAGAGAAGTTGTGAACTATTTTACCTGGCAACAAAGTTAACCAGAGTAGGTTCAACTCATAAGTAACAAAGTGAACGTGACACAACTGGCATCAGGAAAATATCCTTTTCCGTAGAATATCTAAGAAGTGGTTCATGTTTAAGCTTTGCAATAGTGGATCTTTTAACTTAAACCACTGATTTTATTTATTTATTTATGTTTGTTTTGAGAAAGCACATTACTTTTGTGATTTCTATAAAATCCACCCCCAATTATCGTATGACTCAGTTAAGAACTTGAGGGTGCTGTTACCAGCTCGTGGCTCTACAATGAAGTCAACCTGTGTGGAAGCCAATCCTGGTGAAATACACAACATGTGATGTGGAAACTTTCTCAGGTCACATTGAGTGAAGGAGAAGACATCTTGTGTTCTGCAGTTCAAATTTTGATGGGAACAATATTTCCATCTTCATAGAGTTTTCAATAAAGGTGAAAATATTCCTTAACAGGGAACAAAAACAAGATGTATACTATTAAACAACAACATAACAAAGAACCATATCATTGATTTGTTCTAACATTACAAGAGAACAGTAATAACCTACAGCACAGCAAGTGTCTTGGGCCTAGCTGTCATAGTCATCGTACCTCTGCCAAGAATATTTCAATTTCATCTGTTTGATGAAGTTAAAACCAACTCACTGTCGCTCACCTTCCTTGCTTTGTGTGAACAAGTCTCGTAGACCCTTAATTGTGTTGGTGCTGTCGGCTGAATGAAGGAGGATGTAGTGCCACATACTCAGAGCCCTCACAGTGCGGCCCATTAAAGGGCCTGGGGTCTGTGTGGCGTCCAGGAATCCAGAGGGTCTGTCAGCTGTAGGATCACACCTCTAATCCTCCACTGACTGAAAACACAAGCAGCTGCTGTCTGATCTGCTCCACCCTGTCCTGCTGCTGAACATGTTCCAAAGCAGAGGGCCAAAGTGGAAGGACGTTGGTGGACATGCCGGAGGCCTTGTGTTCATTCCCAACAAAAGAGATTATCGGGATAATCATGAATATCGTCACATGAGTGACCTGAAAAAGAAGTCTCGCTCGCTGTCGTGGTAGAGAAGTGAAAAACAGAGCCTGATTTAAAAAAATACTGGAATTATCATGTAAAAAAAAGAACAGACTCACACAGTGTTCACATTTTTTTTAAATGTATTTCCCCTTTATTTATCCCAGGGGACCTTATGATCCATGATTCTTACATAAGATTGTTTGTTTTTCACTAAAAACGATACAGATGTGTCCGATCTGTGATGCAATAACAATATTTGGTTCTTATCCAGCACAGCTATTACCCTTCACAATATAAAAGTAATTTACTCTGATATACATTATAAAACCTACACTGTGGGATGTATAGCTGCCAAATTATGACAGAGAGAATAAACAGGATTAACACTCCTATCAGTTTACGTTTTTTGTCTAGCCGTGGTGGCTATTTTCTCCCCATGACAAATTCAATTCTATAAAGGTGAGCCTTATCTTCTCTGCTGCTATCAGGCTCGAAGTGCCTCGGATACTGTGGCCAGTAAACAGGCTCAGATACTGTTTGTGTGGTCCGCGATGCAGTGTGGTCAGGCAAACAAAAGGTTTATTTATATCCATCACACCCAGAGTATGAATAAACTGCGCACATACTTACTACCAAAATGATATGAGAACAGTGGGGGGTGCAGCTTTCTATGGATAGAGAACTTACTCTCTAGGACTGGACTTGGACTTTTATTTAATTTTAACTGGGAAAAGTTGGTTTCATGGTTCAATTAGTTATTTCCTGGGAGCAAGTGTCCATACCAAGCAGGATCTTTTTCATCCATTTATTGTAAACCATAAGGACATAAACAGGGACTCCATTACAGACAACTATTGATCTAAAAGTGACTTGACAGGATACTCTCCCAAAGATGAAACACGCTGCTGTTAAAGAGTATGCTGTGAATTAACTCTTCATTTTCTCGATAACAGATGTTCTTTGAACCAGCAGCCGATCAAACCGTTCGTTCGTTCGTTCGTGTATATAAAAGTTACATTTGTCTTTGCTGTGGTCAACCAAAACAGAGTGGAAAGAAAAGCCAAAAAGAATTGTGGACAACAATGCAGAAACCTGCACTGGGTTCTGCATTGAGGTTGTAAAAACAACAGTGAGTTGAGTTAGATGAACTGTGATAAGCCAGACCAATATTAGGACTTAAACCAGCTGAGCTTAATAGTTTTGCGACACAAACAGTGTGGTGAGAAGAATTAGCACCTGGTGACAGTATGCATCCAAGGGTTGGATTGACTGCCGAAATGTTAGGTGATGTATTCATGGTTATAGTTAAAAGCGTTTCCGCAAGATCAGTGACAGGGAAAGGGAGGTATGGCGGGAACATTTTTATTTAATTAACAGCTGAAAAGGCCATATAGCGTATATGTATTACAGAAAACGTGGGTTCTAATGTTAAACGCATCAATCTGGTGCACTTTGAGAGACAAATTAAGAGGCTCGTCTATGAAAAACTTTGTGCCAGAGGCTTCACTCACTTAGCAGAGGATAAAGAAAAAACTGGAGAACCAGTTTCTCAAAGCACTCCATCAGAATGGAGGTGATTGACACAGGGCGGTAGTCATGTAGACTGGACCCTGCAGACTTTTAGGCAGAGGAACGATGGTGGATGTCTTGAAGGTGGGAACTCTCTCCTGTGACAGTGATATGTTGAAAATATCAGTGATGGCATCAGTTAGCTGGTTGGTACATGTTCTTAGTACACGGCCAGCGATGTTATCAGGCCCAGCAGCTTTACTCATAATCACTGTCATCAGGGTTTTCTTCACATTCGCTGAGGATACTGACAGTGGGCGGTCTTCTGGAGGCGGGGCAGATCTGAAAGCTGACTCTTTGTTGAGGAGATCAAAGTGAGCATAAAAGGTGTTCAGCTCACCTGGCAACGTGGCCTCACACATGATGCTCCTGCATTTATAGCCTCTGACATTTTAGATTGTCTGCCACATATCTTTAATGTTGTTGGTGTTGAGGTCTCTTACAATTCTCTCTTTGCCTCTTTGATACCAGCTTTCATGCCAGATATTTGAAATATAAAAAGGGGGTTCTGCACAACCCCTTGCATTTATAAATAATTATTTTTAATTTGTTAAAAGTCAATAGTTCAATTATGTGATGATAAACTCCTTAAGATGAACCATCTTGTTTTCAAGACAGGAGTTTCTCCTACTGTTCCTATTAACTCCAAATAAAAGTCATATATATGTCATAAAAAGTCATAGTATAGTATGTCATAAAAAACATTACAAAAGTCTGTGTCTGTTATTGGAGCAGGAGAAACTTGAGATGTTGGTGTAAATGTCTGTTTTCTGTCGAGATTGCTGAATGAACAAAGGCACTTGAAGGGTCTGGAGGACACCAGAACTGGAGCGCATGGAACCCTTTTTTGGTACCAAAAACTTTCATACACTCATAACAATAGCCATAAAAAAAGATGTCTGTCAAAACAATCATAGTAGAGTACACTTTACTTTCTGGCCCTCAATCATCAAAACGGATTATAAAGTTTCTTCTGTCACTTCCTCCATGGTGTTTTCTTCTTTTGCTGCAGTTACAATAAGGGAAAAACATTTTAAAAAGTGTGTTTTTGTCCTCCATAACCCTCTTCTTACCCTCCATAATACCGGGCCATTACAGATTATCGCACAGTTTGATTTTAAACAGGTACATATAATCTGTCACTGTCAATACAAACTCTACATGCTGTACAATATAACGATATCTTTATATGTCTAAGTCATTGGTGCTCTTTACATTTACCTGTCTTGACTCGTTGTCCCTGTCCCTAGTTATTAATTTCTATTTTTGTGTTAATATATCTTTATGACTGTTTGATCCACATAAAAGCAGCTGTAGATTATAAACCGGTTGATTAACAGCAAAGAGCAATCACTTTTTGCAACGACGGGAGGAGCTGTTCTTGTTACAGATGCAATACATGATTTCCAAAAAAATAAAAATAATTTCATGACCAAGTGAAGTGAAGAGGCACAGTGGAGAACTGACGGTGCTCCTTTAAATAAAGATGTAAAAAAAATAACAGCAATTCAACAGCAATATTTTATAAACTTGAGGATGTTTTCAAAATGATATATTCCAACATGATCGCACTATGAATATTCAGAATATTAGGTTAACCTAATATAGATTGTGTCTCAAAACTCACATTCTTTTTGTCTGCCATCTTTTGTAGTTCGGAGGGGGTTTGAACATTGCTGCTGAGCTGCTTTAAAAAAAGAAAAGATAACGTTAGTTTTTGGACTGTAAAAGGACGAGGGTCCAATGCTGCTTTCTGAAAAAGAGCGAGTAAAAAACGCCCTGGCTTGCACCCCTTTTCTCTCCCCCTAACAGTGAATAAATAGAATCTGCTTTCTGTCCACAGCCAGACCTCACTTGGAAAAAGACTTTAGCACGAGAGATGCCAGAAAAAAACAAAACTGTGGTAGAATTAGAGATAGAGAGGCTATGTTTGGGTGAATGACAGACAAGTTCTGCAGGAGAAAGTTCCTGGCACTGCTCCCGAAAAGTCACACTATTTTGACGTGGGTGTGGAGGGCAGCCAGACATCATGAGAGCCTTCGAGAGCCCTGTCATAGGTGATGAAAGTGATGGCGATTACTACAATGTGTGTGTAAAGAGTTATGTGGAAGTAGTGTAGCTGTTCAGATGTGTGTGTATGTGTGTGTGTGTTAGTCAGTAGGTCAGGGTGGTACCCTTGGCCTTGTAAGGCAGGGTTATCTGGGGTTATATATTTGATCCCCGTCTGCCCTGTTACAGTCTCAGCAGCAGCTTCCTCTTCACCTGGCCTCCGTAAGTCTGCACAACTGGCTGTATTTTTCTATTCATGCTGTATTTTTCTGTTGTTTAAACCCAACGTAAATATATACGTGATGGAAGGTACTTTTCTTTTGGAAGTATATCTAACACTGATAAAATCAGATACACTTTTAAACCTTTTCACTAACTAGTTTGAACTAATGATCCAAAATACTAAATAATGATGTTAGTAAGCTACTGGCATTCAGACTTAATTCATGTTGCAATATCTTATTCATAGTTTTCTCTGCCCACTTCAGGTCACTGAGGTATTCTGAAGTCTCACCTGTCATCTGAGCTGAATCCACCGGTAAATTCTCCTTTCCTAATGCTTACATAGCATTTCATATCGTAGACTTAGACACTGGTATAATATCACTTTGTACTTCTATCCAAATCCAAAAAACGATTTTCCTTGAAACCAAAGGCTGAAAAGTAAAGTCAAAATTTATGAGGTTGAAGTATGGGATACGGACAGAGTGAACCTCATCTCTACCTCTGTGTACATCAGTGCAGCCATGGGGGATTCAGTGACGTCTGTGTTTGGGATGGCTGCCTCGTACCTGAGGAAGTCGGACAAGGAGCGCATGGAGGCCTCCACGCGGCCCTTCGACATAAAGAAGGAATGCTTCATCCCCGATTCAGTGGAAGAGTTTGTGAAGGCAACCATCGCTAGCCGAGATGGCGACAAGGTCACCGTGGAGACGCAGCACGGGAAGGTCAGAGGTTACATTTTATTGTTCAGGCACGTTTATATTATTAACATCGCATACTTTTTTTTTATCATTGCTGCAACGATAGAATTACAACCTGAAGCCTGACCTTAACATGTCCACCTGTATAAAAATAAGTGTTGGCACGTTGCTCAAATACAGCCATTTTAATAATGTGGGGGTAACCAGAAGAAAGGCTGGAGACAGAGTTTGTAAATTGGTGGTTTGTAAATTGGTGGTGAATAAGTCTGACCCACAAACATCAGTGTGAAGGCAATTACCTCACATTGAATACATTTTTTCTGTCTCCATTAAGAATAAATAAGAATAAAGTGTATAAAGATAAAGCTGTCATCTGGTGTTAACAATGTGCGGCAGGCTTTGTGTTACACACACAGGGTGGTACATGCAGGAAGCAAAATCAGCAACAGAAACCTTCTGAACGGCTTACTTGCTCATAAAAATATGACAATACACACACACACACACACACACACACACACACACACACACACACACA